AATGGATCCAGGTAAGACACAGCTATGTAACAGTATAAGTACCGGATTACAGTGTGAAATGGATCCAGGTAAGACACAGCCATGTAACAGTATCAGTACCGGATTACAGTGTGAAATGAATCCAGGTAAGACACAGCTATGTAACAGTATCAGTACAGGATTACAGTGTGAAATGGATCCAGGTAAGACACAGCCATGTAACAGTATAAGTACCGGACTACAGTGTGAAATGGAACCAGGTAAGACACAGCCATGTAACAGTATAAGTACCGGATTACAGTGTGAAATGAATCCAGGTAAGACAAAGCTATGTAACAGTATCAGTACCGGATTACAGTGTGAAATGAATCCAGGTAAGACACAGCTATGTAACAGTATCAGTACAGGATTACAGTGTGAAATGGATCCAGGTAAGACACAGCCATGTAACAGTATAAGTACTGGATTTTGCAAATTCAAAGCAACTCAGTACATGTATGACATAGTGTAAAATTGGCCTATCAATGTACCGTCTGCAACAACAGTTTTTCCTTTATTTCAGTACTTCACAAATGTAAAGCACATCAAACCAATTATCTAGTTTATAAAAACAAATGTGTAACTATTGTCTGCTTTGAGTTTTAATCCTTGGGAAATATTAATTTGGGTTCCATCTGTTCAAAGACTTTTAAGTTAAGTTTGTTATTTTCATATTCCTGATGTATTCCTATTTTGTTGCAGTGAAAATTTTCCCGGGGTCCAATAACAGTGACTTTCACAAAATGTGAATTCTCAAATTGTGAAAATTACTATTGGCAAAAATTGAATGGTTTACAGTACTGATTTGATCATAATTAGAAAGTTATTTTTCCAGTTTTGCTGGAAATTGTTATCCTAAATAGATTTAAAGTAAAGTTTTATTGATTAAGTGTAACCTATTACTGTGATACATTGTATAATATGTGATTTGAAATTATTTGTGAGATGATCACGAAATTGCAAGACAAATTTCTAGAAAATATGACTGCCAGAGTGATTCCATGATAAACTTTTTTAGTGCTCATCCAATGCTGTTCTTGTGCTTTCACCGTGCATGCATTGCGTGTTGTTGCTTCTTGAATTGGGTAATAACAATTCATTTCTGTTTCTGCAATCATCTCATTCACAGTTTCACAGACAAAGGCATGTGAATCACTGAGAGACATGGGGTTTTGTGTTGTTGGTTGGTATCACAGTCATCCAAGATTTGCACCCAACCCTTCAGTTAGAGATATAGAAACACAAGCTAAATATCAGGCAAGTATGAAGGCAGATTGGGCCGAATTCAACTTTAGCACCAATGAGCATGTTACTGCACAGATGCAATGCATTATGGGATTGTATATAATAACTGAATACAACATAATGGAATACAATACAACATAATGCACTACACTTCACCACACCACATCAAACTACACCACACCACACTTCACTACACTACACCACATCACACTACACTACACTATGCTACACTACACTACACTACACTACACTACACTACACTACACTACACTACACTACACTACACTACACTACACTACACTACACTACACTACACTACATTGCATCATACATCACATAACACATACTGCTCTGAACAGCATGCACTGCACTGCACTACACTACACTTACTACATCACACTACATTACACTACACTACATTGCACTACACTACACTACTTAATACATCACACTTTGCTACATTACACTACACTACACTTCACTTA